TGTGTCCATAACTAGTACCACTCAGCTAGACACCTGAGGATCTCTGGCAGATAAGAAACACAGTCCAGTTCTATTATCCTTCTTATGGTGTCTTTGTGCTGTTGTGGGAGAGGAACAACATGCACATCATTTTCTGTAATGCAGTAGCCTGCTGTAGTCTGCTTGCAGATCTTTCCATTTGCACAATCTCCAATTCAGGGACGGGGAGGAAAGAAATTGTAATATTCAGGTAACAGCATCCTGCAGCATGGAGTGAGTTTTCCTCTAAAAATTAGAAAGACAGGAGATTAATATCTTAGAAAGACTAAAAAGCCTCCATAAATCAAAAGGCAGAAAAATAAAAAAGAAGTCTATTGTTTGATTTCTAAAGTGACAATAAGCATAAAAATAAAATTGTGAGGTGAGCAGATGCTTTCTCCCTTACACACACTACTTTTCATAGTCTATTCCTTCTTTTGTAACTGAGTCAGTCTTTTCACTATTTTTTGAAAATTCAGGAATATTGAATGTCACCTAAAGTTATAACTGTGATATATGAATAAAGGAATACTGTGAGATAAAAGTGAAATTTTAAAAATAGAGAGTCAACAAACTCTGGCACATGAAAGAAAACCATTTCTTTCCTGGGAGACAGGCCACAGAAACAAATACGTGTCTAGCTGACATTTCTTTGTCTCTTATTCAAGCAGAATAAAACTAAAATTATCTCACATGCCTATAGGCTGTCCTCGTATAAGGCACAGAAATGTAGAAGGGATTATTTCATATGTGCATTTTTATTTGCTTCCTTTCTAAGATACAAAAGCAGCTCATTCTAGCTGCTGAGAAATCATTTGGTAAAATAAATCCTTTAAAAATAGAAGACATTTCCACTTAAATGTTTTTCACATACTTCATGATATAAGTGAAGTACTTTAACCAGGGGCAAATCCAGCTGCTTAGTGTGATGTTGGAAAAAAACATTACATGAGCTGGCTAAAAATAAAAATATTACTTGGGAAGAAAACCTCTACATAAATTTTCCTCTTGAAGCTTTCTATACTGGAGCAACAGTATCAGTATTGAAGGAGGGCATCTGGTACTAAAGAAAATTATTATTTTATAGCAGGATCTGTCCTTTATAAGAAACTGTCAGCCTCTCTTTGCAACCTGGTGGTAAGATGAGTAAGAAAAGGATGATTTGTTAGAAATAGTCTAATTTGCTTAGTGACACATGTAGGAGCAACTCTTGCAATATCAGATATATTTTAAAGAAACTGTGAGATAAATGGGCCTTACAAATTCACATTTGTACAATGTCCTACCCAGCTTGGCACTCAGTGGAAAAACCAGCAATGATCATCACTTTAAAGAGAAACATCTAGAAGCATGGCTGCTGCTGTTCTGGTCCCACAACCACTGTGTTTTTTATAACACAGCCTGATGAGCAGATCACTTTCTCAGGTCACGAGAGGACTGTGTTCTCAGTCTGAAAGCCCAAGTCTTCCACTTCCTCAGACAGTGCATTGACCCCCACGGTTAATGCTTTGATCCCCTTGTTTAAGTTGTCTCGCTGTGCACCAAAAAATGTAAGCCAGACAGCCACAGGATTATGAGATTGTGGCCTAGAAATTAGAGGTGCTTGAATGGATTCAGGCTCTCAGGGTTCTTACCTCAGGAGATATGACATGAAACCTGGGAAAATGCTAAATGCACTCATCTTCTTTTTTATTCTATAATTTTCAGGAGAAATGGATGTTCATTTTTAGCCAGAATTTGAATGCTTCTGCTCACCTTTTTCTAAGTTTTGGAATTTGATCAGAGTTTAGGCTCACATAAAACATATTTTTGGCTTAGTTAGTCTTCTGTCCATCATGCTTTGTAACTTCTCCAAGGTGTCTGTTTCCCTTCCTATATAGAAAAACTGGTTTGGGGCAGGTGAATTCCTGCTCTTGAAGGTCTAGGAGCTTGGAAATAATGTCACTGTGTCTATGTACTTTGGTGCTGTCCCAAAGTCATTTCAGGGAACGGCTGTCTTGTTCCCGCAAACGTAACCGGTTATTTTGCTATCAGACATGTAAGTATACCAAGAGTTCCCTCATGCTGCAAAATTTTCTGCTTCATGCCAGCTACTTTGCCCATAGTCTCTATTTTTCAATGTCTAGAGTCACAAGTAAAATAGAATTAGACAAGGCAATATGGGAAAACTTTATTATTTGTAGCTTCCTTATGAAGTCAAATTTGATCTTTCTCAGTAATGAGAAGATTTTGAAGCACTCATTTGTATTTTGTTCAACTTTTCTTTTGTGAACATTGCCTTCTGAGTGAAAGTGCAGCAGGGAATTTACTCCCACTGAACTGAATGATTAAAAACAAGACTTCAGTGAAAAATGTTCTGCTGGAAAATGCAGCAGAACTTCTACAGTGCTATTCAACTAATAGGTATTGGTTCCCTGTGGCGTTTTGTTCAGCTTTTCTTTTGTGAACATTGCCTCTTTCTTCTGAGTGAAAGTGCAGCAGGGAATTTACTCCCACTGAACTGAATGATTAAAAACAAGACTTCAGTGAAAAATGTTCTGCTGGAAAATGCAGCAGAACTTCTACAGTGCTATTCAACTAATAGGTATTGGTTCCCTGTGGCGCAGTCTGTGGAAATTGTGAGCTCCTGCAAGGTTTCTATACAGCAAAACAGATGCCTGTTTGTTCATGAATGCTCAGCTGTTGTATGACCTGTTCTCACAAGGGCTGAAAGAGAGGAAAAATACAGCTGAGTTTTATGAAGTTGTTAAAGCAACAATTTCATAACTTTTAAAACACTTTTAAAAAAATTATACCTTTTGATTGTTCAAATGATATGATACTTCTGGTGTGAAGCATAAGTGTGTATAGTGCATATACCTGCCATCTGTTTATACTCTGATATAACTGCTTCATATTAACCTTTCGTTTAGTCACATTAGTTTTAAAGCTGACATAGGTTATTAGTAGGATTATCCACTTGGACTGACTGTGGAGTTTTCCTTAAATACTGAATGTATTGCCTAGTATTGCCCTAAATTCCTTGACATTCACAGCAAATAACTCTCTTTCAATTTTAGGCAAGAGAAATTCTGCTGTCAGATTCAGCCATTGACCTCATATTGAAAGCCTGCTTTATAATATTGCCATCTGTCCATTGTAATGAAAGATGGAACTGGTTTTCATACTTACCCTGTAGTCTTTTGTAAAAGCATACCATTATCCACATAACAAAATTCTGAAATATTGACTGATAAATAGTTATCTCAGCCTTGTCTTAGATGCTACTTTTTTCTAGTAAAAGAAAAACCCCAAGAAATTCTTTAATCAAATTATGTATGGTGTTTCTAATTTATAACATATTTCATATAATCTATTATGTTCATCCTACATGCAAAAAATTATTTTCTGAAATGTTTTAGTTATTGGTTCTAAAACTGCAAATCTAGATCTGAGTACTTATTATTTATTTATCTGTTTTTCCCTCATCATCAATTTTCACAAACTTCAGACTGCTGGAATCTTTCAAATTATCCCTTATTTTATTTTTGTTCTTTATATCACTAGGAGGACCCTTCTGCTAGGAATTGGTTCCAAAGTCCTCTCATTTTAAACAGAAAAGGCAATTCCCAAATGCTTTATATCAGAAGGGAAATGAGAATTTAATGCATATTGGTGCCTTCCTCCTTACACATCCTGTGTTAGCTCAGATTATAGCATCTGACAGAATGTTTGATTTTGTCTTTTTGTCTGTGTGTGTAGAAATGGCATAGTTGCTGTATGCTTTCCATCCTCTTTTATATTCTAAGAGAGATATCAAGGGAGATGATAAGTACAATATATGATGGGTTGAGTTAACAAATGCTAATTTTATTTCACATAAAAAAGTATTGCTGTTAACTGAAAGAGAATTGTGCAAAGCCTGTCTTCTCTAAGCTGGTTTTACCTTCTCTGTTCTTCTTTCAGGATATTTGTGAATAATATAAATAGGGCTTTATGAAGAGATTTTTTAAAACACATGGAGTTGTAATTTTCTTTTTCCATTGGAATTCTAGTGTAACACCTGGATTGGTCAATCTGTCAGACCTTCTCTGAGCTAGAAAGTCATTAGGTCTTTTATCCTTTCTGTGCTTTGCTGAGTGTTTTCTATGTCAAGTTATCTGTGCTGCTACAAATTCGTTTGAGCCTAGAGTCTTTGGAAGATGCTAGAAATGTTTCCAGTGTTACGGTTGATGGTCAGATCATACTTCCATTTTGTCCATAGCTAGATGATACCTTGTGTGGACTTCTTCCACCTCATAACGAAAGATTTTTTTGAGAGGTGTTTCACTGATCCAAAGTGTAGCCCCAGCTGAAGGTGTGAGGGCTGCGTAAGCGACATACTCTATGTAGGTACATGGGCATATACATGTATATGTTTTGCAATTTTCCACAGTTCTCTCCTGTAGTAAACCTTTCCCTAATCCCTTCTAGGATGATTAAGTAAAAACTAGAGACGTGGCTATAACACACAGGGTTGCTGAAGAGCTAGGGCAGGAATCTGAAGAGCAGGGACTCAGTATATATCAACTTGTTTCCAGCTTTTAAGGACACCATGTTGTTTTTTATTCTAGGATATTAATATAAATCACTTCCTTAAGTTATTCTCATGTTTTCTTTATGGTCTCCCACAGTAGTGTCCTCCTGTGTGTGTGAACACATGGAAGACTAAATGGTGAATTCCATTTAGTATGCAAAAATTTTCCATAAAGGTAAACTGGCATTGGGTACTTAAGTTTAGCAGTAACATTAAACACACACAAAGCTGTTAATCCTCAGTACAAGTAAGGATGAAAGTACCTTTTCCTTTGAAAATCATGTATGTTTCACAGATTCTTTTGGTAAAATAGATGATTATTTATTGAAAATTTCTTCTTGTACCACTACAAGTGTTCTTTATATCCCCTGCACGGCTACTACAAAAGTATTTATAGGATAATACATAATACATTACACAAACTTACAGCTTTCCAGCTGCATTATACATGTTTGCACATCCATTGGAAAATTTTTGAGATCCATCGGACAGGACAGTATTAAAGTCAACCTGAAAAAAAAAAATTAAAAATATACCACAAAATTTTCATAGAATTGCACAGGAAGAACACATGAAAACACTGGAAGTCAATAGAAATAGAAGAAAATATGTATTTTTGTTAGAAAGCACTCAAAAGGGATATATATTGACTCAGCCTAGCATGACAATGTGGAACAAAATTATTATAGACTCTTGGAAAAAACAAGTTTTCAGTAGGGTGACCAAACTTCATGAGAACTCTAAATGATTGCTTTTTTCATGCTGCAGCAGAATTATTGTACTGTTACGGTATTTCAAATCCTTAACATAAAATTTACCCAGATTTCAAGAATTTCATAGCAGATGTCAGCTGCAAATCATGGTGGCAAAGTAATTTATGTCTTATTGTCCTAAAATAAGGTGCTTAAACTGTCAACACAAAGGTTTAAGATAACTTTTTGTTATATTGATGGTAGCCTGAAATAGGCCTGTAATTTTGAACTGCAGCTGTGTTTCACATCAGTCCTGATATTTCCTGGGAAATACTTTGCAACATATAGGCCAAAGATGTATTTTTACATTTTGTGTCAATACAATAACTTATCTTTAAACTGATACTTTGAGAAGATTGCGAAAGAAGAGCATAAGATGTAAAGGCATATGTTTTCCCTCACTGGACATGTTTAGGTACACAGGGTCATCACTTCATCTTTCCTCTTGCCAGAATATATCTTGCATGAAAAATTTGCCACATATTCATTTATCAGTTCAGTTGACAGAACATTCTCCAAAAAGTTGAGAGGCTTGAGCCTAATTCCTTACACATAAGGCTCTTCTAGAATGGTTGTTCTCCCATTACCCTCTTTTAAACCCATTACCTTGGTTTTGGCCTTGGGGTTAAAGGCCAGTGAGCAGTAGGCAGCACATATGGCTGTATACCCTAGTTTTTCCCACTCCAAAGGTTTTTGATTGTTTGTTGCCCTAACTTCTGTTTAGCCTGCCAGTGACAGAGCTGCAGGGGGAGAGTTCAACACGGGAACTCAGACCCAGGCTCTATTCCCATGCTATTAACACAAGGTTCCAAATAAAAAATCTCAGTAGTAGGCTAGTAAAATGGCAAGTCATTTCATAAAAGAGGCACCTGGACTTTATCTTGTGCTTCAAATATATTTTTAGTACTCTATATTAAGTATTCATTGGATTGGGAACTGGAACCTTCTCATTATTTCACTGATTGAATTGTTGCAATGTAATTAAGAGAGGAGGAGATGTTTGGAAATGAGAGGAAAAAGAAAATTTAGAAATCTTTTTTTTTTCTTTTAATATCAGCACATTAGCAATCAGCATGTCTCCCCTCATCAAAAGCTTAACTGACACAAATTCACATAACAACTGAACTAGATGCCAGTTATATGATTTTAAATCTGTTTCAGGAATTGTAATAGCTCTTAGTTAAATCATGGCGACATAAATTTTCTGGCTCCGTAAGAAACATGGGAGCTATCTGACATCTGATTTCATCACAGTCAATGTTTGCTTTTATACTTTGATATTATAATATTTCTCATCTTTTCCTCACCCATACCCTGTGACCATGAACTTGGTATGAATTCTGTTGAAGCTGCAATCCAGACTTGCTTCAGTTGAGTTGTAGTATCTATACTCTATGTTGTACGTATCTGGAGGGAGTAGGATGAGCAGGAGAGGCTATTTCATGATACCTCTCAGGGTGACTCAGACAGTCTGGAGATAATTGATTTAGCTCTCCTTTCTACTTGGATTCAGAAAAGGAATGGTTTCTTACTTGCTTTCCATCTGTTTCTGGTCAGAATACATATTGTGAGACTGAAGAATGTTCCCAGACTGGCAGACTAACCGTCTTTTGGATACAAAATGCTCATAGGAATTTTAACCCAAACCCTTCTCCTTGTGTAAGCTTGACAAGATGCTGCCCACTTGCACTGGAAGGAGGGAGGAAGGAGTCTCCCTTGCCACCGATAAACCCACACAAATCACAAACGTTTCCTTTTTCTCTTAGTATAGAAACTGTTTGACAAAGTCCTGATGTCTCTTCAAAAAGTTCAGTTATCCATTAATAAAGTGTTGTAAAAGCATGCAAAACAGAACACTAAGTGGACAAGAGCTATATTTGTTTTGAAAAGTGTGGCATTTTACACAAATAGGCCACTGTATTACCATCAAATCTATATCAAGTCTAACGGAGCATTAGTATAGAATCATGGAATGGCCTAGTACTTATATCCAATGTATTTCTCATTAGAACAGGTTTTTGAAGATAGAGATAAGATGCGTACTAATATCTGTATTAATATAAAGAAAGTAGGGAGAAAAGAAGTAGAATAACTAAGTTTTGCCAGTACTTATGACTACTGCTTACAGCTTTTTTAACCTTTTCAAAAGTATATTTTCCACCTTTCTCTCCATCTCCAGCAGTAAGTGAACTATTCTTTAAATGCTGTGCTTCATCAAACAGGTCAATGCTTCCATGTTGAAGTGCAACTGCAATATCCAAAAAGGTGAAAAAGAAATAACATGGGATTATCATAACATTGGAGGCTACAGCAAGTGAAACTTATGCATGGGCCAGCTCAGCTTATAATATTGCAGGTTTATTTACTCTGTGCAAGTGTCCTAGCTTGTCTACGCTCAGTTCCTGTACTTTAAAGTGGAAGAGATACTCTCTTGTTATTTTTACTATGTGCATGCATAATGAGGGATCGTCTTCTATTTTAGTATTAAAAATGAACAGTAATAATGATAAAGTTCTATACTCAAACCTCACTATTTTAGTGATAGTTCTGCATCACTAGCAACTGAAGATATCCATTAGCAGTTCTTGGATCCATCTTTTTTTTAATTATTTGATTAGAGGCTCACCTGATGGAATACAGTACATTTCCATTTTTGAAAATTCGCAACAACTTGTTATCTGTTGTAACTTCATGAAAGTTGGCACCTTTCTCATTTGCGAAGAACAAATCAGGTTTCCAGATTGAATCCAACATGGATGGATCTAAATCTAAAGAGTCATCTGGATATTCACTGTATGCAAGGCGTGGATCATTCCAATTCTGGCGGAGAAATATGTTCACTCGGTAATCCTGAATGAAAGAGAAAACAAGCAAAGCTTTATCAAGCACAGGGATTTAGCTTTTATTTCATTTCTTAGCCATGTAATCCCCTGTCCATCTGTGGATGACAAAAGAATTACTTAGTTGAATGCCAGCATGATACCTATTTGTATTAGTGGGGACACAATGGATAAGAATAAAGATGCATTTCAGAGTATTTGAAAAAATCTCAAGCTAAGGAAAACTAACCATCATGATTCTCGCTCAGTCCCCATGTGTTGCCTGATCTAGTCGAGAGGCGGCACGCCTGGCGGCAGGGAGGCTGGATTAAAATGATCTCTAAGGTCCCTTCCAGCTTAGGCCATTCTATGATTCATATAACTCTACTTCTACATTAGGTTTGTCTTGAACTCAAAATGAGAGAAGCATAAAGAGTTTTATGGGTTTACCTTTTTATGCCCAGCTCCAGGGCAGGGCATTCCCACTTCCCTCTTCTAAGCAGTGAGAATCTGTCACACTGTAAGGTGAGTTAATTACTTTTCCCCCCTCTAATCTTTACATATTTTAGACCCACCTCATAGACTTTCTGTGACTGAGTTCCCTGTTGAAAACTGTGTGAGCAGTAAGTTGCCGTACAGCTGTCTGAGGAGGACACATGTTCCTCCTCTGTTCAAATATGTTGGAGATCATACAAATTCTTATGATAAATTAGCTTATCAAGGGTGCTGAGTGCTTCAAACTCATGGAAGTCGTTTTGGAGTTGTGTATACCCTGTGTCAGAGACAATGTATTTATGGCTGGACTCTTTCTTAAAACTATATCATTCTGAAAGAGGAAACTATCTGTAAAAGCAAGTATTATCATCTCATTGCGTTATGTCAAGAACTGAGAGAATCGAGACACTAAGCATAAGGAGATAGGGACTATACTTTTATCAATGATAACATGACTTTCCTCATTTATTCTCACTACTGCATTAACGAAAGAAGATTAAAATAAAAACAAAGACATGTTAGGTGCAGAGCGGACATGAAAGCTGGTTGTCAAAGTTTACATGACACTTCTGAATGTGATAGAAGTAAATAACATCACTTGCTTATTGTTAAAAAAGACAATGATAATAGATTTTGAAAAGAAATCTTTGAGTCAGGGTGGGAAATAAAGCGTTCAAGGCTGAGCAATTAATTTGAACTATGGGTTCAAACTTACTAGTGGTTAGAATAAATAGTCAAAACTCCACTGGTGTACAAAGTGGGGGTACTGTTAAAATTCCAGTGTTGTATCAATATATGGTCTTATGAAATTTGGAATACGCAGCTACATAGTTATGAGAATTATGCCAACAGACATAATAAAGGACAATAGGAACCTCAATATGCAACATTTACTCATGAGAAATAGTTTTTTATATCTTCAGCATCCTGCTCTTTTGGTCAATTTAACTACTCAGCTTGAGTAAGGGTAGCCGTATATGCTAAAATATGCTTAGCAAGCATTTATTATTTGATAATCAGAAAATACTGCATATCGTATAAAGAAAGTCCCAGCAGAGGATTTTATATTCATACAACCTTATAAATTTTCAAGACGAGGCTAGCAAGCGGAAAATTACACCTGGAGAATGAAATTAATTCAGATCATTATTTTCAACAGACATGAAAAAGACTCTCTAGTCAAATGGAAGCATGTAACATTAAATGTCAGGTGCAAAAGGCACAGGATTTGTTACTCTTTAAAAAAAAATAAATTGTTAATTAATTTGTTAATCTGCCTTTCAGAAAAGGATTGAAAGAAATTTCCGTTCCTTGTCATTGTGGCTAGTGACAGCCTCAAGAGCCATAAAAAGTTCTTAAGCTGTTGATATTTTTCATAATTGCAACCATAGTGTGATGAAAACAGAGACAGTGATTTGTACCTTACAGATGTGGAAACAAGCTGCTTTTTTTTCTTTTTCTCCTAAAGTAAGCCAAAACCCTTAGACAAGCTTGTGTCTTAGAACTGACATTTTGACATCTTCCATGCAACAAGAAGACATAATACCTGCTGAAATACCCTTATTTCTTTGCATGACATCCATACGAGCTCCCCTTCCAAATTCCTGTATGCAGTCAAAAGGCCAGGAAGAAGCAGAATGTGGGAGCAGTGAGAGCTCCACCGCCTGTACCACTATGTGGAATCCTTGCACTGAAGAAAACATTAGCTCCAAACCTGGGGGACTGGGTGTAAGCACTGCAGCTCTCAGGACTCTGCCTGAACTTCAGCCAAACCTAAGCTTTACCTTTTAATTTATATAACCTGAAGTATGTCGTTTTATTTTATTTTCCCCTCTAGACTACGATGGCCTTATGAGTGGGATTTGTTATGACTTCTCATATGTATAAGACAGAACAGGTGAAAAACACGTAACAGAAAGTTGAAATGAAAATGGAAATTGGAGGAAGACAAATGGAAGAATCTGTTCGAGGTCATACCAAGTTATTCTGTATGTCAGTTTGCCTGATGTTTATTGGTTTAAATTCTTTCCAGCTTTTAAGATGAAAAAAATCCTAGTTAAATTTTTCGTTGAAATATCTGAAACTATTTTTAAATTGTTCTCTCTCTTGAAAAGTCTGATTTAAATTGCCTCCCATTTTTCACTAAAAAAATGTTTAATCCGTCAAAAGGAGATACATTTGACTGCTGTTGTATGAAGGACAAATATTCATTGTCTCAGTTTACAATTACACACTGTGAGCATTAAGGCTTAACTGCTTTAAGCAAGTAGAATTGTTTGATACAAACACAGAAGCCAGAATTAATCTGCCAGAATTGCTTTGTTTTCCTACAAGAGGATTAATATTGTCACGTACTACGTGCCTGGAGGCATGACTCCTAACTCAAATAACTCTGTGCTGGGGTATTTCCTTGAGGGGCGAGAAAAATCATCATTTAAGTTGTGGTGACTTCCATGGTGGCTTCTATAATCTCAAAGCTGCCATCATTTGAACAGCTGCTGTACCCTGGTTCTACAGAATGAGGGTTTTTTATGGGTCTGCACTTGCTCCACTGTCCTTGAAAACCCTTAGTCACAAGGCAAACTTTCTTAGAGGGTCAGATTACTGTTCTTCTTTTTCATTGTGATCCATAAAATAAAAAATTAGGAGATCAGGTAATTTGTCTTTGCTGACCACGTTAAGGTTAAGGCCGTCATAGACTCTCGTACTAACATTTTCATTAGCAATTCCCAGCACACAGAGAATTCTAAAATACTTACAGAATATGTTGATTTCTTCTTCATTAACTGATATAGATAGAGCTATATTCCCATAGCATATAGAGTACAGCTAGTCTGCTTTATGAAAACTTTTGCCTTAATCCTCAAGATATTAATTGCATAACTCTCACTGGTTTCTTTAATGCATTTTTAATATACACTGTATGTGGAATCCTTCTTGATCTGAGAGATATGTAGAAGTAAATTTCCAAAATGTGCCCTTTATTTGAATATTGCATATCACCTGCTTTCATATTTCTGAATGCTGTTATTTGAACCAAATCATCAAATTTTCATGCATAAATGAATGTTCCAGAACTGTACCTGTTGCAGTTCCAAATCCTATTATAATTTTGACTAACATAGCCATCCAAGTGAAATCTAGACTTGTCTTTTGCACAATGTAGTCAGGTGATTCTTGCTTTATTTGCTCTAGCTCACTGTAAAATTCTAATACGGAAAACTTATGGACTTTCCAAGAACACTGCTAGGAGTAAATTTAAAGATACTATGAGTAATACTGTTCTCATGAAGAATTTTTTTAACCTGATAACTATGTCACTTTGTAGTAATGAAATCTGGATATGATCCTCTTTTCCTAAGAAGATATCCCAGGTATACTGGAAAGAGCTGTTCATGTGAAAGTTGAAGTGAGGAATGAAAGTTAGCCAGGTCACCTGGAGTAGAATTCAGGCAGAACTAGAAAGAACTACTAGAGTCATGGGAGCACAGGGAATTATTAAAATAGTTTAAGTAGATGTTATAAGGGAGACGAATATGTATCAGGAAGAATAAGACCCAGGGGAATGCTGGCATAAAAAAGTAACCAATGTCTTGAAAAGCTACTTCTAAGTAAATAGTAATTGCAGTGGGCTACTGGTTTTACTGGATTTGTTTATCACCCCAATGGGAATGACACTATTTGGCCATACAACTATGTGTGTGTGCTGTTATCCTTCTCCTTCTGTTCCACTTTCCCCCTCAAAAAAAGGAAAAAAATAAAAAAATGAAGTTATCATGTGCTGAGTTATTGCTAGTGAAATAGTATTAGTAGTTTCAGCACAACATCCTCAGTATAGCAACCTAAAAATGAATGTTGTAGAGCATATGTCACTTCATTTTCCCTTTTTTTTTTCTTTGGTAAATGAAAAACATGTTTGGCCTTTGTTCTAAAAAATATTATGATTGCCTTACTCATTTTATATTATATACTTTGACTTCTTAATCTTGAAGTAGTTCGTTAAATAGGATGCCTGCAACAGTCTAATTAAAAGCGCTTAGAAATTTTACCTTTAATATTTTAACTGTGATATAATATTGTGGGGAAAAAAAACGGACTTAAGACTAACTCCACAACTGGAAGATAAAATGGAAGACTAAGCAGCAAATGGTTGTTTTCTGAACCAGATGAATGCTGCACAATCCAATATCGTACTAAACTTGTTACCACTAAGGAATCATAGAATCATAGAATGGTTTGGGTTGGAAGAGACCGTAAAAATCATCTAGTTCCAAACCCCTTGCCATGGACAGGGACTCCCTCTAAATCAGGTTGCTCAAGTGGAATCACAATAAAAATATAATACTTTTTTACTTCACAGTTTCTAAGATGAGTTTTCCGCTTATAACATTTGCTTTCCTGGTTTACCATAGGTAGATTTTATTATTTCTTCTTAACTTTAGAAAACCATCACAGAAAATTTCCCAAAAAGTAAATAATTCCTTTGGATTTTCTTATACTAATACAAAGGTAGTATCATGTGGGGACTTGGTGGGC